GCGCGATGTTGATTCAGAGTTCATCGCTTGTTTCTCGAAGGTTAAACTCAGTTCGACCTCCGAGAAGAAAAAGATCTTTACTACACAGGGTCATAACTACACTGTGTGTGTGTGTGTGTGTGGAGGGAGCGTATAAGAGGTGGGGGTTATTTATAGCAGTCAGTGAGGTCACCAACACACAGAAAACCTCAATGTGCTTTATTCAGTCTATAGTTTACACCCCCCCCCCCCCCCCCCTTGTATACACACCCTCACATGCACTGAGTCGTGACCTCTGTAGGAAGCTCATGGGAAAAGTGAGAACTGCTCATCCACACTAACGAGGACACTAAATCAGGAGAAAGTTTAAAAGTCTGAACATTAAGGAGGAAAAACTGGTGTTTTTAAGTGTATGTCCATGTTGGGGGGAGGGGAGAGGAGGGGGGGGTGGTATTTATAGAAACTGGGTTAGGACTGAAAAACACTGGCTCACCGGAAAATGGAAAAAAAAAAAAGCTTCTCTCCGGATTACTGAGATCACGTTTGGATGAAAATATGTGATTTTTTTTTTTTCAGAGTGCTGCCTGTTATTGTACTGCCCTTGGATTAATTACATTCCTAAAATGGTTGAATTTTTTAGGGTAGTAGGTTAGAGGCCTGAAATAGGTGGAATGTTTTGAAGATGAGATTCTTCCACTATAATCCTGAAACTTTGTTCGTGGTGCAAGAAACATTCTGCTGCTTTACTGAAAAACTAGAAAAACCAGTGTGAAAATATTCAAGTCCGGCATTCTTGTACTTAAATGAAAGTAATGCATTAAAACAAAAGGCAGCATATAGATGCTATTAAAGCAAAATTAAAAGTTAAGTAAAGCTATTTATAATGAATTACGATGTTTATCCAAAATAAAATGAAACAAATTCAACTTGTAAGTAGTTTGACTCCAGGACGACAATGGCAGTAAGAAATACTGTACAGTGTGGAAATAACAGAGAGAGCAAATGGCTAACGTAGAAATAACAAACTGTGTTGAAGAGGTTTTTGATTTAATGGAAACTGAGGATTATTAGGGATTTTTAAGTAAACACATTCTGCTTCATCTCACCACTGGTTTAGTCAGTCTCACATTTCTTCCCCCTCCAGTTTGTTTTTGCAGTTTTGTTTCCAGTTGTGTTGGAGTCGCTGTAATATCCTGGGATTTAGAAAGTGCAATACTTCAGCTGAGGGAAGTCGAGGAATTTCTCAACTGGGTCACTTTCCAGGAATAGAGTAGAGAGTGTGGTTTCCAACTTATTAGATATTTCAAATTCTGCCAAACTGCAGCTCGAGGAGAAACATGGACAAACAAGGATGGAATAAAAATGGAAAATCAAATTTAACTCTCAGAAAAGTAACTGAATTATCTCAATACATTTTGTTGTGTTAGTGTAATGGTTTGAGCCCCAGGACGAAGTCAGTGGAAAGAAGTGAATGAAGGTCCACCAGTCACAGAAACAGCAGATGCTCAAGAGTTTGACGTTAAATATCATTTATTGCAGATGATCCACATGATTCACTCACACCGCCTCAGCTCCGGCAGGTTCAGAGCTGAACGAGTTTCATGTCCGGACGTGTTTGTCCTGTCAGTCTTGATTTCTCTCGCTTTCACGCACACACGTTGAAACATGAGCTCACTCGTTCATTAAATCACTGTCAGTCAATCATCGTGGGGGGGGGGGACTCTAAATGGGACAGCGACAAGGAGTCCGTGAAACAAAGTGGAGGCCGGGGAAAAGAAAATGATTCAGAAATGTACATTACAGCGAAGAACAGCTTCCTGTGAGGTCAAACCCAAGAACGTCTCACAGCTGGTACATGAAAATAAAATCCACCTGACGTGACTCGAGCTCAGTGAGACGCTTTGGGTCGTGTTGGATTTGCATAAAAACGTCCACAAGGCGTTTTACAGGAGGGGCAGCAGAGAGGAGCAGAGTGTGAGGAGTTCATCTGAGAAAGTGGGTGTTTGGAGAGAAAAGGTCACGGTTGGGTTTTATTTAGTTTATGTATATAACTAAAGTTTGGACTATTTCTACTATTGTTGAATTTAATTGTATATTTTTGATTGATTTCTTGATCCATCAAAATATAATAAATAATGAGTAAATATTCCACATTTCAAAATGATTAGCTCCTTCATGTGCTAATTGTTTTTTTTATTTGTTGGCAGGATAATTACATTTTTCACTTTCTTTATGTTTTATGACAAATAATAATTTAGGGGATCAGACGTCTTGCTTTTTTTCTTTTGCATATATTTCTTCTTGAAGAGCTCCACACTCGTGTGTCGGATCGTTCGGCCCTGTGCGGCTGGTTATCCAATATTTCACAAGTAAACACTAAAACTTGTAAAATAAGAGTTTACCCACTTTGCTGCTCTACTGCTGCACCTTCCCTGTTGAACACACACACACACAGACGCTAACACACACACACACACGCTCTCTCACACACACAGTAATCAGATATGACCTCTTTAACCGTGGTCCCGCTGCAGTAGTGGGGTTCCACAGAGAGGCATGGACGACCTGAGCTGCTTTCAGCACCACGGCACTAATCTCGTCCAGGTTTCAGACACCTGGACCACCGCTTCAACTCTGCATCGCCTCGGCCAGGCGGGGGGGGCGGCCCGGTGTCGATGCAGCAGGAAACAGCAGGGCCTGACCACACTGGCGTACACAGAAGCACTCAACCGAATGAATAAATGTCAAACATCAAATCAAAGCAATAAATACTAAGCACACAGTGCTGAAACTTAAACCGTTACAACTCACTTCCTGTCTTTTTCGACCTTCCTATGTTTTTCCTCTCACATGGCTCCGTACAGTTACCTCCTGATCCTGATCCTGAAACTTTTCTCCTCTTTACAAAATTAAAAATCCTTCACAAATGTCCTGAACGCAGCTCATCCGTCTCTTCGCGGCGTCTCTCTCACTTACTCGACCGTCTCGCAACTCGAAAAAAAAATAAAACGCAGAGCGCACACACATGCTACAGTACAAATCAGTAGGTATCAGTCTCCTCGTTTAGCTACGCACGATCAAATCAAAAACTAACGTAAAACCACAGTGACAAGACACACACACAGAATCACAGCTATACATCAGTAGGGACCCCGCTGTGGGGTCATTTGGTGTCCAGCATCGTGATTGGTTGATTGGCAGTGGAGCGCTCATCCCCACTGGCTAACGATGGTTCTAAGAAGATCCGCCTGAATCCCTGCAGGGCCAGTCTTGTTTGGCCACGATGAAACATCACACCTGAGGAGAGAGAGCGACAGTTCAGTCAGAGGGTTCATTATCCTGTCCTCTGGAATTGAAGTACCAGTTTAACATTTTAGGAATACGCTCGTTAGCTTTCTATTGTGTCAGTGTGGGAAAATATGAAGCAGCTGCGTATTTCGGTTCAGCACAAAGACAGGAAACAGACTTAAAAAGAAATGACTCACTGCTTTAGTTTTCCTCCAATGATTTTAACCTGCTGGAGAAAGAAAGTTTTGTTAGCAACAACCGAAACAACTGTTACAGGACACTGACAGAAGCTATAATAAGAATCAGACACAGGAACTTCAAATAAAACTTTACTAACTCTGATCTACCGGGGTGTCTTCTGAAAAAGTTAAGACTTAACTGTGTTGGTCATGCAGGCTGAACTCTGGCCTCCTGTGTGTCTGGCTGGCTGAGGGGGGGGGGGGGTCGATGGGTTAGTCCTGCAGGTTAGTATTCTAATGAGTATTTACTCTGAGGCAACAGACCAGGAAGTAGTTTGACCACCTTGTCTCCGCAGGCGGTCCTCTCGTAAAGAGGAGGGGCTCCATAAAGCAGCGGGTAATGAGACGGCATGTTAATGAAGCTCGCAACGGAAACGACGAGAGCACCTGGAGAACAAGTGGCGCTGAGCGGACAGTGTGAGACAGAGGAACGGGAGGGTGAGGTAGAGCGTTAAAAGCAGCGTGGCGTTCGAGTTTTACGCGCGGAAAAAAAACTAAAACATGAAAAGAAAGAGAACGAGTCGTATAGTCAAGAAGAATTATATTCCACCTATCACTGAGATCTCTCTCTCTCTCTCTCTCTCTATATATATATATATGTATTTAAATAAATAAACTGTACTCCAGATATTCTCCTGAAATTCGGCAGAGGGCCTGTATGTGAGAACATGATGTCAGAGTCAGTTGCTGTCAGTGTGCGTCACAATGAGCCCTGCTGTGTTCTTTATGTGTAAAGGTCAAACTCTGGAAAACATCCAGACTCAGTTGTCTGCACATTTCCCAGAGTTCACGTATGAACAGTTTAAGTTTATGCCCCTGAAATAACTTTGAATACTTCAAGACATTCCTGTACTTTCACTCAAGGTACTTTCCACTACAGGCCTCTGGGAGTGTTTTCACGTTGTGGGTTTACTATTTCTTACTTAGATCTGAATACTTCTCCCACCGCTGGCTTTTAACAGTTTACCCCATTTGTTCTCGCTGCTGGACATATGATCAAAAAGCACCGCAGAGAGAGAAGAGAGAAGTTCAAGCGTGCCCTCGAGAGCCGAGAGGAAAGATCAACTCAGCTGATGTGTGGACGGCCAGATTAACTTCCTCTGAGCCCTCGAGGGGGAAAACTTACTCCGGCTCTGTAGTTTTATGTGATTGTCTTGAGAAAAGAAAACTTTTTTTGGGCCACAGAGAATAAAGATATTTCAAATCTTACACCCTGAGTATTTAAATTGATTATGAAAGAACATAATTAGCAGATGTATTGGTAAAGAAAAATAATTAACAATCTCTTATCACGGATTAATACGACCTTGCCTGAGGATTTCTGTGGCTTAATTACTTGCAATTGCGAAGGTTTAATAAAGCAAAACACTACAGCAAATAATAACGGTTCAATCTAAAATGTTAAATTACATTTTGACTCAGAGCCCCAACTTTACGACGAGGGCAGAGTTGATTATTTTACGTCAGTGGCACAAGTTTCAAACAAATTTGCAATTAATCAAATTATGCAGACTCAAGTGTGATGGCGTACATGTGGGCCCTCGGGGCCCCGGGCTGTTGCCTGGTTTGAGCGGTTAGAGATCCAGCCTCAGATGTGTGGACAGGCTTATTAACTGGAGAAATGTGGCCAAACTCTTCACTGTCATGAGATCACATCTCTGTGCTTTCTTGTTTGATTAGCGTTTTCCATGAAAAACAGTTTTCCACGTGGAACAAATTGTTTTGGGGGATTTTTAAAAACTCCCCAGTTCTGGGGACTTAATGGTGGACGCTTCGGTGCAACGGTCAAGCTTTATATGTATCATTGGCGTGTCTGCTTCAGGTGGCAGGTAGAGTTAGAAAAGACAGGATATTACTTTAAACAGAAAGGGTAATGAGAAGATCCTCGAAGAGATTAATGTACCTCTGTCCTTCCCGTTCAGCAACCTCTCCTCTTCCTCCCGACCATCATCTAGTCGGATTAAAAAGTCAGCATGTGAATCATCATTCATAAAGTTTACAACGATTCAGAGGCTACAAAAATGACTGAAGAACATCTGCAGGACACTAAGGGAGTGTGTGTGTTTGTGTTGTTTGAATGTACCTGAGTGCAGCTCTTTGACCAGTGAGGACACAGTGTTGGTGATGGAGTCAGCTGCCACCAGAAGGTCGTTTCTCAGGTTCCTTCTTGGGCCTGAAGCAGAGACACGCAGAAAAACAACTGTCATCACCACACTACCAGAAATAACTTCTTCTTTGCTGCAGAGTCAGAACGACAACATCTCGAACACCAACCTTGTGTTTGTTAAACCATTTACAACGAAGGACATGTACGACTACAAACGCAGTTTTTCCACCTGGTAAAACTTGTCTCAGAAGGAATGTATACACATAATTATTTCTCCAAATTGCTCTCACCTTGAGCAAAGGCCTCTTGTACGTCGCCACCCACCCCTGCGAGGGAGTCTTGAGGAGGGTACATGTAAGCCTGCGGAGACGCGGCACCTGGACGCGGCGCGGTTGATGGACTCGGACGGGACGGAGATGAGTGAGAAGAGCCAGCCGCCTGTGCCTAAGAAACGGATTTAAGAGGGTTGTTATGACCTGGTAATACTTATCTTTTTTCATAACCGACAACTGAGATCTCCAGAAAAGATTTAGCTGATTTCAATAAGAGGCTTTAAATAATTCAAAATATCAAGGTTGCAATTAGGAGATGAACTTGCCCCCATTGCTTGAAATGTTTTCTTATTTTGAGATAGAAAGCTAAAGGCCTGACCACAATGATCTCGACATAACGGGGGAAAAATAAAACTTACTGCCTGACGCTGTTCCTCATCCTACAGGAGGCAGTTGTAAACAAACAGGGAGGAAACGGATGGAAAAGAAGAGGTCAGACACAGTCAGAGACAGAAACAGAGGTAAAATTATAAAAAGGAGGAAGTAGCTGAGAGGAAGTGAAGCTTGTTACTGCAGCAACAGAGAAACAGACGAGGCCCTCTAGTGTGAGACAGGGCACCATGCTGAAGGCGATAGTCGGTGTGTGTGTGTGTGTGTGTGTGTGNTGTGTGTGTGTGTGTGTGTGTGTGTGTGTGTGTGTGTGTGTGGGTGTGTGAGTCACCTTGAGCAGCTTCATCAGTCCCTCCAGCTGCACCATCAGCTCCCTCCTGCTCTCTTGTAGAGACGACATCCTCTGCTCCAGCTCGTCTTTCCTCTGTCTTCAGCACAAACACACACATAACAGCTTGTGTCAGGAGGGAACAGGAAATAAAATAACACGAGCACCAAGACTCTCAGGAGCTAGAGGCAGCAGTTAGACTAAAACAAGGAGGATACAGAATTTTTAAACACAGACAAATAACCGACAAGGACAAGGGCTCTGAGATATAGCCCTTCAATTGAAATATCAGTCCCCAAAACCTCGACATGCAGAAATGATTCTCTAGGAAAACAGCGAAAATGTTAAAATATCTACATTCTCATGATAATATGCGTTTCAAGCCGAGTAGTGTGGTTAAAATCGTGTTTCTACTTATATATAAAATATTACAATCAAATAATTTAGCAGAAACAACATACAGGATATTGTGATCGGCTCAAAATGAAGCCACTTGGAGCAGAAATGTAAGATTTTGCAAGTCTGGCGCCCCCATGTGGTATTCAAAGATACTCCACGACACAGTGACCTCATTCGAATATAAAAGATCATTTGAAAGATGCTAGCGTGGCATAAAAACAAAAACATACTAATAATTGTTCATATATATCATGTGTCACAGTGAACAAACAGACCATCGTGGATAAACGTCCTGTAACATATTAAACCTCCTCTCCCTCCTTTGACTTTTGTTTTCAGCACAAACATGTCGGTGGGGATTTTTACATTAGCTTTTCAAAAAGGTCCACCATCTGCCACCGCCATCTGCCATAAAGCGCTCCCTCTGTGCCGCAAAGCAACACAGCCGACTTCCCGTTAGAACCTGACGGTGCGGCTCTCGACGCAGTGAACGCGGCACAGGGGCTGGAAATCTTTCGACCTTTTGAACATGATGTCTGGGCATCATTTCTGTCGCTGGGATGTACACGGTTCAAGTTACAACAAGAAAACAACAAAATCAAATACTCGGTGTACGTTTCTGTTCAGCAGGGTTCAGTGTAACTCCTCATCCTCTGTGTTGAGTCTGTGTTTACCTGAGCAGGCGAAGCTCGGCCAGCAGAGTTGGGTTGGTGCTGCCTCTCTCCGGGCTGAGCTGGCACGCCGCGTCATGCTCTGTGCGGAGACGTTTTATCTCTGCCAAAATCTCTCTAGGAAATTAAAATAATTGACATAGTGTTCAGCTCAGGCTGGGACTGTGTGGGAGGTCAGGAAGTTCAGACGAACTAAATCTGAAAAGCTGCGGAACACACAGAGTAAGACAGACTCGACGTTTACGTCCACTTCTACCTGTTTTTACACTCCAGCTGAGCGATGAGCTCCCTCTTCTGTTTGTTCACGTCAAAGTTGATGCTCCGGTTTGGTATCACCTGAAAACACACGAATAACTTACTGATAAGAAAACTGACTGTGGGTTGATTATTTGATTATTTAACGACCACAAGACATCAGTACTTTGTGTGTCATGGGTTTTGCGCACGTGTGACAAACGAGAACCTGATTATAGATCTGCTAACAAACGAATGAGGTGTTATTGACTCACTCCTGAACTGTCAGTCTCTGCCAGGCGGGAGGTGTAGCGGGCGATCAGTTTGTGCTCCTCATCCTGTCTGCTGGGACTTTCCACACTGCAGACACACACAGAGTGCAGGAACGTCAGCGACACAACACTAACAATCTTCAGATATGTTCCACCAGCACGGCGGCTGATGATCCATCCTCTTTTCCATTATCTTTGAATCTTTCGATTTGTCTTGAGTTGTCAAATGTCCCCTGTGAGCCACTGTCGGCGATGGAGGTCTCTGCTGTTACCTGGCAACTGTTTCCTGCATATTCTGGCTTCTGATCAAAAAACATGTAATCAGCCTGTAGCAGGTGAAAATGTCAGCGCTCCGAAAGGACCTGCCTCACATGAAGAACACGGCAAACTGCAATTCAATTCATTTAAAGAATGAAAATGCAGTAAAAAAAAAATATATAAATAAAGCTTGTTCTCACCCAAAATGTGTTTGAAATGTTCTGTCCAGTTTATAACTCACTGATAAGACGATAAATGAGATTAGATGAAGGGAACTGAACTTTTCATAGAACAGGGATTAGTGAAGTGACATCTGACGACTAGAAGCAGCATCGACAAACTTCTGTCAAATAATTAAGTGAAACCTCGACACAGGAACGATGCTGAAGTGGTATTTTGGATGTTACGCAGGAATAGAGAGAAGAACCCACAACGATACAGCTTAGAGTTTTCTCTCTCTGCCTCCCTCTCTCTCTCGTCACTCCCTGATTCCCTTATGTAAACACCCCTCTGCTCGTCTCTCACCGTGGGCTGCTCTGGAGACGATTCACGTACGCAGCGATCAGAGCGTGTTCCTCGTTCATGCGCTGAGCCGCTGCCAAACTGGACGACAGAAAAAAAAGCATGATAGACTGTGGAGGAATCACCACAGCTTTATTTCACAGCCAAGTTTGCGCCAGGCGAAACGCAAAATTCACATTTTTGACATTATCATGTAATTCTAATATCGGGTCATGTTCACTTTCCTTTTGAATTTGAAGGCCAGTGCAGATAACGTGTTCTAGCTGCTGTATAAGACTTTTATTCTCATTTAATGGAAACAGAAACACTTAATTGGCAGTTGATGTCAAGTTATTGCAGAAGAAACTGTTATAAAGGAATAAAGCAAGTTATTAAAAACCCTTTTTATGATGACACTAACACATCCTGGCCTTGAAGAGAAGACTGCACATTTCCAACAGGTTAGAATAATCTAATCTAATCTTTAAGGGAGTCCGTACCGTTTGGTGGAGGCCGGTGATGATGACGACTGCAACATGGCCTCGCTGGTGTTTCCAACAGGTCGAGAGGGGCTGCGCGAACACAAACACACAACGTGTCACCTACATGTCATCAACCCGCACAAATATAAAGCGATAATAACAACTTTCAACCGACTTGAAACACAAAAGGCCCCCAGATAAAAGAAAGGCACATTCTTACGCTCACATTCTCACACACTCCGCATGTGCTTTTGTGTGCGTTCACGCAACAGTGAATTGTGCTAGTCTGAGCAAACACACACAGGCCAAAGATCGCCAGAGGGAGAGAGAGAGAGAGAGAAAGACAGTGAACACACATAGAAAGGACAGAAAATCAGATAAACCTTCTGTAAAGTTTGACAGAGCTCTGTTGTCAGCATACTCACAGCAGCGCTAAGTGCAGTCTCTGCGTTCTGCCCTGGATCTAAGTCTAGTCAGAGCTTGCAGGTCTGTAATGACCCAGTCTGTCAGCGCTTGTTGGAAAATCAAACAGTGTGAATCCAGTGAAAGGGGGCGGAGCCGCTGCAGCGGGCCGGCTGGAGGGGCGGGACTTCAATTTTATTCATGTTCTTAAAAACTTTGAGCGGAAACATGAAACTCTGGAGACGGGAAACAAGAGTCTGCACGACGGTTAATGTTTCACCGTCACGAACCTGTTGAGTTTCTCTCATTGACATTACAGCGACTACAACGACCTTCAACTGTTCCTGTGTCACGTCCACGTGCCGGTTGTCTGATTGTGTTAAGATCGTCTTATCATGGAAGGGTTTCATATTTATTCAGGATATGTTGGAAGGTGTAGAGAGGCGGAGTCAAATATAATGTATTATCGTATATTATTATTTATACAAAATACTTTTTAAGACAGTGATGCAACTCGAAATGTGACAGAAATAAGGGACGAGTGCTGATTTACTGCAGTTTCATCGTATTTTTTGTCAGTTGCATGTAACAATACTTAAATAATGTGACGTAGAGTTAGTGAGATCGTTGTCATTCACATGTAACGCAGGCTCAACTCTTATTATTACTGCTTATGGAGGATGTGTTGTACGTACAGTGTGTATGAGTGTGTTAGTGCTGCGACGTCTTACACGATGTTGGAGAGGTTCAGCGTCCTCTCAGGTTCCTCTGGATAAATTGGGTGCGGGGGATCTCTGGACGATACGCAGCCCAGAGTCCTGCTCAGGGCTCGACCAAGCTTAGTGGCTGGAGACTTCTACAAACACACACACAAAGACACACACACACGTCAGGTCAACGTTCATAGACCGTGTGACTTTTACAGCAGCAACTTAACTCGGTGGATGAAACAGTTTATGTTTCAGGATGAAAGTCTGAACTTGTATTCAAGTGTTATCAGTGTGTGGTTTATCTCAGCTGTTAGAAACAAATCAAACTCACACATCCTGGTGAGGAGTCCCTCTTTCACTTCCTCAGTATTTTATTCTTTTAGATTTCTTTCATTTGTTTGCACTGTTTCTCCAAAGACCATCGTTAAAGACATGTCTGATAAGTGTTGTGTGTTGGATACAACTGAAACCCTGCAGCACATTCTGCCCTGCGTGGACAAAAATTCTTCAAGACTTATCGCGTCAGTTCAAAGCAACACTGTGAAACTTTTACTTAAACAGTTCGAGGTCAATCAACGATTAAAAGTTCTTCTTTAGTTTCAGAGGCAGATGCAACAGTGTCCACTTGGTGTGCGACTTGAAATAAGAGCTGTACAGTACCGAAGGTCGAGTTAACTTAATCCTGAAACTGAACCCTGTTGGAGATGCAAAGTCTGCAGAGGATTATTAGGAGAGATTAATTTTGACAGGCAGGAGCAGCAGCACTGTTGAGGAGATTTATTCGTGAAACATTAATAAGACAAATGATGCCGGAGTCTGAGGGATGAATAATTCAACGACTATGTTTGTATCTATTGAAACAACTTTTCTATTCTGGAAACATTCTCTCCTTCAGGCTCGAGCAACTTTTCAGTAAGTGTTATAGCGATGTTACATATTTCATACATCATAATACATCCCATCGGCAGAACCAAGAACATTTACTCAAGTATAAAACTGAGGTAACTGTACTTTACTTGAGTATTTTCCTTTTATGTCACTTTATACTTTGACAGTTCAGTGGAAAATATTGTTCCTTTTACTGCACTACATTTGAATGGCAGCTTGAGTTACCAGTTATTTAAAAAGTGTTGACTTTAAAACACACACGCACGCACGCACGCACACACAGAGACGGTGCCCCCTGGTGTGATGAATGAGTAATCGCACAGTGACTCACCCAGGACGAGTGCTCCTTCATCTGATGCTGGCTGCTGTGTGAGCCGCTGACGTTGCCGCGCCAGAAGCAGTTCTGACAGAGCTGGTAGCCACGGCAACGGAGGCAGCGATAGCGGAAGCCCGTCATGCCGTTGCCACGACAGTAGGAGCACGACACAGGATGATAGACTGAGAGGGAACGAGAAGATGCATCAGGTCTCAGAGTAAATATACCTTTAATATAGATATTTAATATATATGCAGCTACACCGTTTATATGAATGTTTGAATGTTTTGTATATATGTGTGTGTACCGTGCTCCACGTTGGCCAGACGGTGCATGAGAGGCAGCCAGACGAGACACTGAGGAGGGTTGGTAACAATGTCCAGGAACATGTTGAGCATCACCCTCTTCTACACAACGAGACAATACCAACAAAACACAAAGAATAAGTAAATAATCATTGAAACCCTGAAACAAAACAGAACCAATATACGAAGTAGTGTGATAGAAGAGAGACGAGGTGTGAGAGCAAACCTGCTGTGGGAAGCATGAGCGTGCTAACGTGTGTGTGTAGCCAAAGGACGGTGCTTCATGTACAGCGGTGGGCAACTTCAGAGCTTCCCTCAGAAACCCATCAAGTTTGGAAAGTACCAACACACCACCGGAGTCAGATATCTGAGAAAACACATCTACACACATACACACACACACTGTTAGAAAGCCGTGACATTAACCTGCTTTAGTTCTCTTGAGCCGCAGCCTCACCTCACCGCAGCACTGACGTACCTTTTCCACAAGGGGGCACATATGTAACATGTATACATCATCAACATGTTCATTACATGCTGATGGATTTTAGGATCTTTACGAATAAAGTTGTGAAGACGTAAACGCAGAAACAATGTGGGTACGACTGCAGTAGTGCACACCGTGTTATTTATAGTACTTGGGTGTTTTGTCACTTTTGTAAATGTGTCCTATTGTTTGTGTCAGTTTTCTCGGAACAGTTGAAAAGTAAAGTCTGTGGAATTTAAGAGTCGATCCGTAACCGACTCCATGTCAGTGACGGTATCGTCTGGTACTCACAGCGGAGCTTATCGACCAGTTTCCCTCCACAGAGCATCGCCAGCATCACCTTCACAGACAGCACCGTCAGTCGGCTTTCTGGTTCACTGGAAAAACACACAAACACACATTTGATTGAGATACACCACCCTAATGTTTTACATAAGTGTGAGGTGTACAGGGAGGAGGGGTTCTCCAAATTAAGCTAAATGTTTTCTATTTATCCGTGTTGTAAAATGTATAAATAAAGTTAACAGGGAGTTGATGTAGCCTGTGTTGAGCACCAGTAGTAATTCTGGAGATTTCGATAATTGATGAAGGTGTCTGAGAGTTTGGAGAAGTGTGAGTGTGTCTAAGGGAGTGAAAATAAATTACTTAAAACACCAAGAGTGCTGCTGCTGCCTGCAATTTATCTGATTCCTTGTTGTGCACATCTGAAGACGTTGCCTTCACCGTCCAGCAGCAGCTTATTAGATTAGCTTTACTCCTCAGCTCGTGCTTCTTATATTAACGTGTCAGGCGGGTTCGGTCCACAATTGGTTTAAAGATAATTGAGGGTAAGAGGTCGGTCAGTTCCAATGATGAGCTTTGCAGGAGAGTTTTCCGAGACAAGTAGGATCTCTCTGGGTTTTTTTTGTTTGTTTGAAACAGATGCAGCATGGGACATTTACACGCAGAATACCGTGATTACTCTTGCACTGTCGTTACCTGTCGACGGCAGCCAGGATGAACTCCACAAACAGGACGGTGCTCTCTTGCGGGTTGATGGTGTGCGTGGTGGGCAGGCGCTTGCTGAGCTGGTTGAACAGGGACGACACCAGGTTCTCCAGTCTGGTCACGGAGATGCCGGCATTCAGCTCGACGGCGTTCAGACCAGCGTCCCGCACCGCCTCGATTACGTTGTATATGTCGATCAGATGCACTGGAATGAGAGGGAGGGAGGGAAGTCAGTGAAACCTGCAAACATACCGATGTTTAAAAGAACATTTTAGTTTTCAAATCTTCAAATGTTTCCTTAGACGGGTCAGAGTTGAGTTTATGTATCATCAGAAGCTTTACTGGTCACACGGAGGATTTTGTGATGTGATGTTCAGCAGCTTTGACTCACGGTTGCATCTCTTCTGTATGAATCGGAGCTTGCAGGCTGTTCGATATGTAGAAAGACAAATTCCGTCAAGGTTCTGCTCCCCTGTGACGAAGAGAGGAAGATGACATTTTGAAAAATCTGCTGGGCCGTTTACAAAGCATCGGTAAATCTTCAAGTTCAGGTTCTGTCATAACGTGGAAACAAAACATGGAACACAAAAACAGAGAAAACTTTATTATAAGGTGGGTGATGATGGGGATAAATGTAAACACGTATGTAAACAGCAGACATGATTGGCTGAATAAATAATGAGGATTGAGTGGTCACTCACCGAGCTCGGCTAAGATCTGCCGTCCCTCCGCTGCTGCTGTCGCTGGACCCCCCCTCTCTCTGTCTCTCTGACCCCCCTCCTCCATCACCATCCTGCAACAACGAAACACAACGTGCAGACCCTCAGTGCCAGAGTGAAGGAAATCTAAACACCTCGAGACAGTTTCAATGTTTGACGGAGGTGGAAGACTGTTTGCAACTGATGCAATAAACAGTGTAATCCTGCAATCACCAGTCTGATGACTCGTTTGGTTTGTTGCAGCTGAAATTAGTGTGTGGATATTATGAACTGTAAAAAATATGTGTTTACAGCAGCGTCATGAAAGGTCCATCCTGCTCCCACACACTGTGAGACCATGAAATCCCTACTTTATTAATTAAATACGACAATGAGACATTTATATTTCCATCAGTGTGTAATAGATAAAATAGATAAAATATCTAAATTGAAATATCTTTGGATTTGGATGCATTTTCTTTACTTTAGAGAAGATAAACAATAATCGATTACTTAAGTATATGTGAATAAATGAAGATGTTCATGTCTGATGTGCCACACCCATCAACTTCTTT